CCCACACCTCCACCACCCGCCGCCCCCCCTTCCCCACCGACCCCCCCACCCCCACGCCTGCAGATTACACAGAGTACTGTGAGAAGAAGGAGAACCTCCCAAAGTCTGAGTGCTTCAGCTACTACTGCGACAGCCTGCCGGCCAGCGTCGACGTCACACCAGAGTGCAAGAAGTTTTACGAGTGAGAGCCCCCACCCTGATCACGCGCCCCTGACCCCGCTGCGCTTGTGCATGTCGCGCCCGCACAAGCGCACGTCCCTCCGCACGCGTCGCCCTTCCCGTACCCCATCCCTGCCGGCCCACGCCTCACCCCGCGCCGCCCCTCACGCCGCCATCCCCGCATCTTCCCCCTGCCTCCCCTCCTTCTCGCAGCTTCTGCCAGGACCCCAAGAACGACAGCTCCAACCTGTGCTTCTCCCCCTGCGACCTGCTGGACGACCCCGCAACAGACAAGCGCTGCGTCGGCTCCACGGGCAGCGCGGTGGACCCCGGGGACGGCGGCCCCAAACCCAAGGGCCGGTAGCAGCGTGCCGCCGTGCGCGTGCGGCCGCACTGTTTTGGCGCTGCGGATCCAGAGCCACTCCAGAGGCGGGCCGCAGGCGACGTGCCGGTTGAACATATTGCGGGACGAGCGGGTGGCTTTGGGCGCAGTGATGCGCCGTGGCCCGGTGCTGGCCAACATTTGATTTGCTGTCTCAACAGGCTGAGCATGCGGGCCAAGCAAACAGGCCAGCAGGTGGCAAGCAGGTGGTGCTCCGTAGGACAGACTCTCTGTAGTAGTCGCCGCGCGGCCAGCCTCCGGCCGTGCGGCATTCAAGCAATTCTGATGTTGTGATAACGTTTGGAGCACATTTCTTTCCGCTATTGGTGGCATGGTAGGCCCGCCGAGCATTTCGCAACAGCCGCCACCCATTTTTCTGCCGCAGTCCATGTGAGGCAACGTGCCTGATGTGCGCGCAAACATCCCAGTCGCGGCACATGCGGCTGCCCACTCAATATGGGACAATGTCCAAACCACGAGCCGTTCGGCAGCGGGCGCCCTCTCTTACCAACCAATACTACATACATCCATGCTGCCGCAGAATGCACCTGCACGTGCCTTGCCTTGTCAGCAAGGCACACGTGCCGCCCGCAATATATGCGAATGCGCTTCTCAACAGCGCTCTATTTTGCTGGGCACCAGGGCGCGCCAGCTCGGGCACACACGTGTAAATGTTTGAGTAGATGTGACGGAGCGGCCGGCTGGTTTGTGGGGCGCATGATAAGGGTGTGGAGTTCATGTGAGGCATGTGGGCACACCGCAGGTAAGCACCAGATTACATCAAGATGATGCAGCAGCAGCCAGCTCATGCATCGATCGGCCTTGGCGACGGGCGACACACAAAGCTGAAGATCCAGGAGAGAATACGCCTGCATCACAAACACAAGGCAGTGATGCAGCTTCCCCCCAGCTGTTTTGGGCACGTTCGCTGCTTGCGGCGTGACCCCACTGTTACCCTGACAGCTGTTAGAATATCATATCTGAATTTGTTACGGAGCGAGCCATACAACACGTTACTCGCGACGCTGTGGATGCCCACATCAATTTATCATGAGTGACCAGTGGGCCCCTTCAACCGACTCACGCTTCTGACAGCTGCGGTCTGTCAGCCAGCATGGGAACAGAGATGGATCAACAGGTGTGCAGGGTGGGTAGGCCGTCCGAGGGTCAACCTTACAATTGCCATTGGGACGCTCCCCACACAAGCAAGCAACAAATGTCCATTCCATGGGAAGCATCTGGGTTCCACAACAAGGAATATCATACATACTTGCCAGCATCCGAACACTTCTGCAGCACAATTTCATCAACTACACAACCAGCGCTGGCCAACACCTGTGCTGCCAATCAATCCGCAAGATGGCATCGCCTGCTCTTGTTAGCCCCCTCCCCTCACCACCACCAAACACTCCTTTGCCAACCCATCAGCCCAGCCCCTTACTGCTCGCCGGCCGCTCTAACATTCGCGGCCTCGCAAGCCCCCACGCACGCGTGCAAGCCGACACTGTCACACATCACTTGACCAGGTTGCCGCCACCCTCCCCGCGGCCCTCGTCCTCGCGCCGCCACCCAAGGTCCTCGAGATCGCGCGACGAGGGCCCGCTGACGCAGCGCCCGCAGGGGTCGAACACACTGCCGTGGCCGGGGCAGTCGAATGTCTTGTCTGTGGTGTGGGGGGGGGGGGGAAACAAGGCCAGTGATGCGCAGTGAACAGGCCATCTAGTAGTGGCCAGGACGCAGCGGCGGTCGTCATCAAGCGCCCACAGAACAGCGGCTATGGGGCACAAGGAGGCGGGCAATGCAAGCTGAGCGGTGCTGGATCGGTCTGGGAAGCCGCCTCCAGCAAAGCGCTGCTGTCAGCCTGAGCGATGCAGCAAGAACAGGCCCAGCGCACCAACGGGGTTCCACTGGACGAGCACGTGCTGGTGGGGGCAGAGTGCGCTGCACACAACGCGTTGTGCAGGTGGGCAGACAAGGGGCGTTGAGGTGGAGAGGCCTCGCCGGTATGTGTGTGTCTACATACGGACAAGCACACCGTTGTGAAGCACAGCAGACGTTCAACCAAGGGCAGCCTCAAAGCCATGAGCCTCAGGATGCTGCGCGATTCAGGTGGCGGCAAGGCTTCCAGCCGAGGTTGAGCACTTCGCAGGTCACCCACCTGTGGCGGTGCAGGGTGCCCTGCTCGTCACGGTACAGCGCCACCTTGCGCAGTCCTGGGGCGGGGTGGGTGTTGCAGGGTGCATCGCAAGCGTGAGGGTCCGTAAGTGAGTAGGGGGTGGGTGAGGGGTGGGGGGGGGGGCTGAGGCGGCAAATAGATCGCACAAGTTGGGCGTGGCACCAACAGACAAGGCGCAAATGGGTGCCACTCGCCCAATCCTGCCGCGCCGCTTGCAACAGTCTGTCAACAGTTTGCGCACTCACGTCCCAACAGCCTGCGCACAATAAAACGAATTCATACCCCAGTCGGCCTGCAGCAATGCACCGCCCCCATCGTTCCCGTAACCCACTCAAATCTCCAGCATCGGCCCCCGCGATAGCCAAGGGCGGCTATAACCAATCATTGAACCCCACTGTGTGTGCAACCAGCACACACCCCTCAAGGCTCACCCTCTTGCACGACCTGCCCGTCCCCCGGCTTGATGGCCCTCTCAGCACTGCCAGGCGCCACCAGCCCCACCACATCACGCCAGCATGTCGGCGTCAGGACGCGCGCGTAACCTCGGACGTTGAGCCTGGCGGGGGCATGGCGGGGAGGGCGGCGTCAGCAACTGGCATGAAGTGCGTGTCTGGGGTGACTCTGGGGTCGGGCAGTGGCAGCAGGGCAGAATGACAACAGCCTGCACACATAGACATCCACGAGTGAATAGGCATGGCGCGCACGATACAGAATGGTAAGGGCACCATGCTCAACAGGCAAAGTGCTAAACGGGCAAACCCCGCGTGCCCTCACCCGACTTCAGTCCCCAGGTCTCCCAGGCTGCCCAGGTTGCCCAGGCTGCTCAGCCGCGACGGCTCAAACACGCGCGCCCACTCAGGTGCCTCTCCCAGGATGTCACCCGCCACCGCCATGGCCCCCATGGCGGCACCCACCACGGCGTCGCCGCTGGTGCCTAGTGTGAGCAAGATCATCATGTAGGGAGGGTGAAGACAATGCATGAGTCATTTCCCCTGGCAAGAAGTGCTCATGACACGGGCCAATTCATCAGGGGAAGGTGCAAGTGCGCTTTCTTAGGGCTTCAAAGCAACCACCACCGACCCCTGTCTGTTTGGCTGTGCACGGCCGCAGCCGCGGACACCTGCAACACAACATTGTCTGTGTGCAAGTAACTCGGCACCAGGTATGCTCAAGGTGCAGCTGCAGAGTCTCGTGCCGTCATCTGCCTGCCCAATAGCAGCGAGGGCCCCGTGGATCGCCGCCAGCGCAGCGCACCGGTAATGAGGCGTGTCTTGGGGGAGCCCACGTCGAGGGGGTTTACGCCAAACAGGCCCATGATGTCTGTTGAGGGGGAGGTGCGTACAGTTGCGTGGACCATGAGCTTTGCCGTAGGGAGGCGTTGCTTGGGCAAGCTTGCTGCTCTCACACAAAGGGAGGAGATGGTGAACGCAATGCCAGATTCCAGCCAGGATGAAGAACAGGACAAGCTCAGCAACCGCTTGGCAGGGCGTTTGAGTTTGTGCGCAAGCGCCGAGGGCGGTTTGATGGGTGCCACTCACCCGCGGGCCGGAACACCACGCTGCTCCAGCGCTGCACCACGCGGCCTGCTGACGGGAATGTGGTGCGCGCCCAAGCTTCCAGCGTGTCGAACGGCGGCTTGTTGCCGTAGCGCTCCCTCATCTGACCCACGACCTTTGGGAGAGCATCGGGATGCGCGGGTTGGTGGGCGGTGCTGTGGGCGTACTGTGGTGGGATGCAAACTGCAGGCGCCGAGCAGCTCAAGGAAGCTGCAACGCGTCAGGCAAGCTGGGCGCGTGTTCTTTGTTCCCCAATCCCCGCTCAAATCAAGACATGGGAGTAGGTGAGCGATTAGTCAATCAGCCAACTAGTCAGCCAGCCACCAGGTTATCAAGTACACATTACACCAGTGCGTTGCGCCTTGCCCACCCCCGCATGTCCCCCTTGCTGCCAGGATTAATGCCACCTACGTGGTCGCTGTCGCCGCCGCCGACGAGCAGCAGGCGGCGCCCAGCACCGCTGTCAACAACTCGCGCGTGGTGGCCATCCAGGGAATAGAGCAGGGCGTCCGGGACGCCAGACGCGCCCTTGGGCAGCTGAAGTGCGGAGCGTGCAGCGGGGGCAGATGTGATGCAGGGAATACAAGATCACAGCCAGCAGATCTGGTAGGTGCATGAAGGATGTCTGATGAACACACACTCGGAGGATATTGGGCGTGCTGAAACATCACGTGCAGCAGGGTCATACATGTTCACGTGCAACGCCTGCAACAGCTGCCCTTCCAAGCCTCGCTCTTTGAGTAAAGCGGCTGTCATGTTCCATATGTGTTGCAGGCGGCCAGGGTTTGAGCGCAGCCTCAGCGCCCCCAGGCCTCACCTCAAAGGTGATGTTGTATGTCCGCCACGGCGACTGGCGTGAATGCACTGCCAGCGACCTGGAGCCGGGGCAGGGAAGGGGCGCGCATGTGCATGTGTTTGTGGGCGAGGAACCATGCGTGCGTTCATGCGCGTGCACGTGCACGTCATGCGCATGCACACACATGTGCGTGTATCGCTGTGTGTGCACAAGCACGTGTATGGTCATGCATACGTGTAGGCGCGCATATCGCGTATGCAGTTGTGAGCTTGTTTATGTGTAGAATGGGACGATGGTGGCATCGGCAGGCTGCACTGACCCAAGACGCAGAGTGACAAGGGTGCTGGAGTCGGCAGCTGCTACGAGGGAAGGCGTTTATGCGCCTTGTGTAACGTGACAGACCAATAGGTGTCGCTAGCGTGCTCGGGAAGGGCTCTACGACCCTATATACCGTGACACCTTGGACGTCAAGCAGGTGGTGCAACAGGCCAGCATGCAAGCACAGGTAGGAGCCACAGTTTGCCGGCCCCACCTGTTGATAGGCGAGTGTGTAGCCAGGACAACGCCCTTCGAAGCCCTGACTATTGGGCCATCCACGCTGTTGGCGGCCAGGGTGACCACCTTGCCTGAAATCGTGAATGGGCCGCTCTTTCAAGCGCAGGGGAGCGAGGGGCAGAGCAGTTGGTGGTGCGTAAGGTTGGCTACTGGGGTTAAATCAAGGCTGCAATATCTGAAGCTCTGGGAGAGGCGGGAGGGGCTCAGGGGGTGCGAAGACGGAGCAGCGTCAAAGGCCCGCTCTGTGCCGGCCGTGGGGGCCATGCAGATGTATCCACCCTCACCTTGACGCGCGTGCCCTCATAGATGCGCCCACCTGCAAGAAACAGCAGCAGTAGCAGCAGCAGGAGGAGCAACCCAAAGGCGCAGCGTTGCAGATGTGGTTGACAACGGAAGAGGTGCAGCCGCAGCCACCTGCTTGGACGTATGCAAGCAACCCTAGATTCCTGCACACCCCCCAAACCCAAAATCAAGGTCGCTTCTTGAGCGCCCGCTTGCCACTCGCCAACCCACCCACCGTGGCGCTCCAACGCCTCAGCCAGCCCGCGCGCAAAACGCACTGGGTCGAGCTCCGCCGCGCCGCCTGGCAGGCGGTTGAGCTTCAGCCCCTTCGCGGCGCCCGCGCTGTTGCCGGCGGGGGCCTCGTGGGAGGTGCTGCCGTCGAGGCCGACCTCACGGCACGCCTCCAGCTCCTGACAAGGTGGAGGCACAGGAGGACATGACACATGTGCGGGCAGGAAAGGTTGAAAAGCAAGGACCGTACTAGCCAGTGAACAGGCGCGACAGCGCCGCGCAACAGCCGGCGCGTGGTGGAGCGCAAGGTCGCAGGACACCAGCGCGAGTCGGGCCCTTGCAACGGCGCCTGCAACTGCGAAAGTCACCAAATTGGTTGCCCGGTCCCCAACGCGGGAAAGCAGCCATGTGTGTGTGTGTGTGTGTGTGTGTGTGTGTGTGTGTGTGTGTGTGTGTGCGTGTGTACGTACGTGCGTGCGTGCGTGCATGGCAGCATACAATCACCCACCTTGTCCACGTTGCCACCCAGGAGGTAGGCAGGGACCTCCTTGAACCCACAGTTGATCTTCTCCTTCCTCACGGTTTTCGTGACCCAGTCGAGGCCCGCGCCCCGTGCCCGTGCCACGCTGCGGCTGACGCCGCGGCCGTGGCGCCCCTGAATTGTGGCAAAGCCATGCGGGTCCCACGCAGGGGCGGCGCCTGAGCTGCGGCCGCTCATACCAGCGCCCACGGCACGCGATTCGAGGAGCACGACGGACAATCCTGGTTTTGTGAGGAATTGGGACAACGTTGTAACAGCAGTTGGGTTTCGAAGCAGAGCCGGGGCGGGCTGCGCACACACACTCCCACACATCCCCCGTGGGCTGCCCAGGCCGGCACTTGGCCTTGACCAAATGGACCACTCTCAAGCATGTGCGTGACGCGATCTCTGAGGCAGGTATGCGTGACTCATCATTGGCAGAATCCTCCTGTGATTGTGCGAGGCCTGCAGATCTGCTGTGTGTCCAACACAGGCACTTTGCCCTGCACGGCAGCACACAATCTCTGACGTTGCAACCCAAGCGACACGCACCCGCTTTGGCGCACATAAGCGCCGTTGACAGGCCGCTCAGGCCGCCGCCCACAACGCACACGTCAGCGATGGCGTGCTCTGACAGGGCTGGGCGGGTGGGGCGCAGTTCGTCCTGGCCCCAGCAGTTTGAAACTGCGCCTACCACACCCGGCTTCTCTTCGCCTGCGATTTGCAAGGGCAGATAACGGTGTTGTATGTGGGCTGACGGGGCCTTGAACAAAACTTGTGTCACACAGGTGTGGTGCGTGTGTGGCCGCCCAGCGGCGCTCGACAACGCTGCCAGCACACACCTGCCGGAACGACCGCAGGCTTGACAGCAGGGCTCGCCATTGTGGCTACACGGCCCCTCTTGATGCCTGAACCTGTCCGTATAACCTTAGTGGTCACCCGGCCGGCGACCTGGAGGCGAGGCCGCGCGAGCATAGCACGACGGGATAGTTCGGAAGGCTCGATCGAGAGTTTGCGGTCACGGGATGGAATGTGCACACTGGACTCAGTGCGAAGATAGGGTTCAGGTACGGGCGCAGGGGCCATTCCAACGTGCTAAAGGGCATCTGTGAACCACACCCAGGAGGTGTCAGTGGTGACGTCATGAACACTCGTGATTTCGGCCCGATCATCTTCTTGGAGTGGTCCCAGCGCTGCGTGTTTGGATGGGATGTCGAAAGACCAATGTAC